GTGGTGGGATTCTATAATAATTTATATAAACTTTATAATTTTACTAATATTATTCTCTTAAATATAATTTTTTTAAAATATAATTTAATAATTTTAAATATTTATAAATATAATATATTTAATTAATTATAATAATTTAAATATATTATTATATTAAAAGATATTATAAATATATAAAAATTTTTATATTTTTCTATATTAATATTTAATTTTATTATAAAATAGATTTTAAATTAATTAAAATAATTAAATTTATTAAATTTTTATAATTTATTAAAAATACAATAAAATATATATTTTTAATTTAAAAAAAGTTTTTTTAAAAAATAATAATAAATATAAAAATAATATTTATTATTTATTATTTATTTTTTTATTTTAATTTATAATATTTTAATTAAATAAAAATATTAATATTAATAAAATTTTTATTAAAAATAAATATTTAAAATAATTATAATTTTTATTTTAAAAAATTTTTTCATATTAATATTTAACTTATATTATCTATTTATAAAGTTTTTTCTTAAAATATTATAATAATTAAATAAATTTATCTTAAATAATATAATTATATATATTTAATATAGTAAAAATAAATAAGTAATAATAATAATATAAAAAATAAAATTATTTTTAAATTTTATTTAAATATTTAAATATTTTTTTATAATTTTTTAAAATTTTTATTTTTAATTTAATATTATAAATATATATATATAATTAATTAATAAAATTATAAAATAAAAATTAATTATTTAAATTTTAATTAAATTATAGAAAAAGAAGATTTTTATATATTTTATTAAATAAAACTTTTATTTTATTTTAATTTTATATATTATATATTTAATATATTTTTTAAATTAATTTATTTATTAGTATATAATTCTTTAATTTTTTAATATAAAAATTAAAAAAATAAAAAAATTTATATTAATATTTAATTTTTAAAATTAATATATTAATAAATAAAAAAATAGTTTTTAAAATTTTTTATATTATATATATATTATTTTTTAAAGTTTTTTTTATTTTAATAAAAATATAATTTATTAAATTTATTAATTTATATATTAAAGTTTAAAAAGATTTTATATTTATTTAATAAAAATTATATTATATTATTATTATAAATTTATAATTATAATAATTTTTAGTTTTATTTTAAAAAAATTTTATAATTATTTATATAATTATTAAAATATAATTAAAAATTTAAAATATATAAATTTTTTATTTTTATAATATTATAAATTATAAAAAAATAATTATAATATAATATATGAAATTAAATTTAAATTTTATATTTTATTACTAAAAGTAGATATTTAAAAATTTATTTTAATAACTTATTTTAAAATAAATTAAATCTATAATAAAAATAAAATTATTTCTATATATTAATATATTTAAAGATTTTTAATTTTTAAAGTTGATTTTTTGCTACTAAATTAATTTTATTTTTTCAAATTAAATTATTTAATTGTTTTGACATTTAACTTAATTTTTTTTATTCTCAGTCATTCAAAGTTCTATAAACATCTATCAACCTTCATTAATTACATAGAACTGGTGGGTAAGGATAAAAATCTTATTAAACAAAATCTTCCAAGTCTATTAAATAGTTAACTTAGTAAAAGAATTTAATCAAGTTATCAAGGTCCGTGAATATGACGTAGTCAATACTCTAATTATGAAGAAGTAGTAGATGAAAAAGAGAAGCAAAAATGCAGTCTGTTATTCAACCCGGCTATTGCAATATGCTCAGGCATTAAATGAACACACTGTCCTAATCCTTTAATAATGTAATTTAATTTAATTAGTGGTTGCTGAATGTAGATAATTCTGGTTAACATTTATATAATATGTTTATGTGGCTCGCTTGGTGGGGAAGTGCGTCAGTTAACTAACTAGGAGCGTAACCTGGGTTTACAAAAACTTCGTGCCATTGAATCTCTCCAGCCGTCCGAACCCAGTCCATCGTTTTCTTTTCAGTAAAAGTCTGATCGGCAACTTATTGTGGAGAGGAAGTTTTCAAGCTCGGTCAGCATCCTCGAAAAAAGTTTAGGCCGATGCGAGTGGAGTGTTTCACTTTGTATCAATTTGACCGAGCTGTGGTTTTGTGGGATTTCAATTGCGGGTGGCCATGATGATTCTTAGACAGTTGTCCGAGCAAGGTCTGGAATGGCCTTCAAACTTTTCAGATAACTACAGAGCAAACCGCGGGTTACCCCATCCCCACGGTAAAGTCACTAGACACATGTTTACCCACGTAGAATCGCACGACTCCCCCTCTATATACTGGCTAGATAGAGGTTATACCATTTCCTTCTCTGTGGTGTGTTCGCACATTAGCTCACCTCTCTTGTCTGAGATATCCAAATATTGCCAAGCGGGGAGTTGCAAACCATGACTGACCAAAAATTGGAAAATAATGAGTGAGTTTTGCTTCTCTTCGGATTTTTGTTTCATCCTTTGCATGAGGCATTGTTTATCTCGCGGCCAGATTTGATCTAATTGGAGTCACAAAAGGCCACATCTCAATGAACTGCCCGCTGTGGGTAACTACGATGGAAAGGAGTTTACGGGAGACAGGATTTTAGCGACTTCCAATGCGGAAGCCCTCTTACCAACTATTTCGCGTAAAGAGGGCGTCGTAACTCCTGACGGAGAGGAGCCGACTGACTTGGAAAAGCGTACTCTGCAACATATTCCCGAGAACCTCCCTCTCTCAGCATGGCTTGTTGCTGCCGTCGAGCTTAGCGAGCGTTTCACATATTATGGGATGACTGGGGTATTCCAAAATTATATCCAGCGACCTCTTGATGGTAGTTTAGGGCGAGGAGCGCTTGGTATGTTCAACAGACCAGAGAGTATATCTTTCAAATTGCAGAGAAAGTGCCCTGACGTTTGGAACCAGGGCTGGGCCGCAAGGGCGCTACCGGCCTTGTTACATTCTTTCAATTTTGGTGTTACGGTGAGCTCTGCTTTCTAAGAGGAACACGAGATGATCAAGCTATGCTAAAGACTTCATGACTAGTGACGCCTATATTTGGAGCTATTGTTGCAGATCAATATCTGGGGAAGTATTTGGCCATTCTCTGGTTTTGTTTCGTGTATATCGTTGGCCTTCTTATCTTATTCCTGACATCACTTCCTGTCTCTCTCGAACATGACGCGGGTCTTGGCGGATTCATTGTTGCCATTATCATCATCGGCATCGGGACTGGAGGCATCAAGTCAAATGTTGCTCCCCTGATTGCGGATCAATATACCCGAAAGAGGATGGCCATTAGAACCAACAAGAAAGGCCAACGCGTTATTATCGATCCAGCTCTTACCATCCAGCGAATCTACATGATCTTCTACGCCTGTATTAATATTGGTGCCCTATCTCTTCTCGCCACTCCGTATTTGGAAAGAGATGTTGGCTTCTGGTCAGCATATCTTCTCGGACTCACTGTATTCATCACGGGAACATCCGTTTTGATTTTTGGGCGCAAGTTTTACGTCATCCGCCCTCCAGATGGATCGGTCATTTCCAATGCCTTTAGGGCTATCTGGATCATGATCATCAACCGGAATATGGATGCCCCCAAATCTTCCTTCCAGGCGGAGCATGGCATGGGTCGATCGTTCCCCTGGAACGACCATTTCGTGGATGAACTCAAACGTGCTCTCGTTGCTTGCCAAGTGTTCGCCTTCTATCCTATTTACTGGGCTGTTTATGGTCAATTCTCTGGAAACTTTGTAGCGCAAGGTACGTTAAAAGATTATCCCTTAAACCATTAGGGCGAAATACAGGCAAACGGATAGAAAAAGAAATCCTGCTGATAATCGTCTGCAGCTGCTCAAATGGAAGGACATGGCATTCCAAACGATCTAATGCAAAACTTCGACCCGATCTCCATTATCTTAGTTATCCCCATTCTGGACCGCATAGTATACCCCATTCTACAACGGCTTCACATCTCCTTTCGGCCTATTAGCCGTATCACTCTCGGATTCGTCGTCGGTTCCTTGGCCATGTTGTACGCAGCCGTCGTGCAGCACCTCATCTATTCTACCGGTCCTTGCTTTCAGAACCCACTCTGTGACTTATCTAAAGTTGACGGTGTCGCACGTGGTAACCATGTGCACATTGGTGTTCAGACACCTGCCTATGTCCTCATTGGTATCTCAGAGATTTTCGCAAGCGTCTCTGGTCTTGAATATGCCTATACCAAAGCGCCACCCTCCATGAAGAGTTTCGTGCAGGCGATGTATCTCCTGACCAATGCGTTTGGTGCAGCTATTGGAGAGGTCCTGGTTCCGGCTGCCTATGACCCAGCCATTCTGTGGATGTTTGCCGGTCTTTGTGGCGCGTCGTTGATTGCGGGCATCATTTTCTGGTTCACCTTCCGTAAACTTAATGACAAAGAAGAGGTGCTGAATGCGCTGGATTATGATGGAATGGAGGAGGGTGAGGACGATCATACCCAGAGCCAGCCTGAAAAGGAGACGAAGAGCGGATTGTGATGATTGACGTTGTTCAGTGATGTATGAATGCACGTTGATGGTTGGATATGTGGTATACGGCATGCTGTGCCTTAGGTCCCCCTTAATTTTTCTCCCTCTGAATTTTGAAGCATATTCCCTCGTCATTTTCTGAGCTTCCTATAACCAATGCTGTCTCGCTCTGCCGGCATTTTTAGGGGTTAGGGATAGAGATTATTAAATGCTCTCTTATTTTGGGGGTTAGGGATAGAGATTAAATGCTCTTATTTTTAGAAGTTAAAGATAGAGATTAAATGCTCTTGTTTTTGGGGTTACGGATAGAGATTAAATGCTCTTCCAACTTATAGGCCCTGCATTAAAATGTACGGTAGTAACATTGTGTACACCTGATGTTATGTTAAAATCTACTACCCCAAGTCTCCCGTATTTCAAAGTATGAGAGAAAAGTGGCTATATCAGGATCCTGTAGGAAAGGTAAAGATATTATCTATCTCTTCTACGAAATGCCACATACTTGACATGAAAATCGAGGGGTTGCATTTGCAGTTATCAGTCCAACTTTCAAGGCGCTCCCCTCTCAGCAGATACAGCTCAAGGCTCGGCATTAGGCACGCCTGTTCGGTCTGGGGATGCAAAAAGCAAGGAAAAGAAGACCCATAACTAGCAAATGGCGCGTTGTCTCGTGTTGTCTATTATAATATTTGAACAAACCCCCAGGCTCTTCCACTTCTGCAGGGGATAAACGAAAACCGGTTTTACTAGTTGCAAGTCCAGCACGACGGAAGAAATTAAACTATCAACCAATGGACGTTCAATCCTAAACCCGATTTCCCGCTTCATACAAAAGGAAACCTGTTAAGTATTGCTGACGTGCGCAGCGGGCGTCTTGACTTTTCAACAGAAGCCTTGTCGCGTTTCACCGAATGAGAATGTTTTCTTTGGCCACGGAGTGCATTCCAAAAGCAGATCTCTGATTCCTCGTTATTTATGCACCCCTAAACAACGGTGAAAGTGTGGCCTGGGCGAACTAAAACTGTGACTTGAACCCAAAGACGGGAGCCTCGACGCCACCGGTTGATCTCTTTTGGGGGGTGGGGCACTTGTTCTTAGTGAGGATATTTAGTTACGGGTATTTAGTTACAAGACAGAGATCTATGAGATTGCACATGGGTCTGTCTGCAACAGCTGCAGTTATTCCTTTTAATGGTTGTGTGTCATTTGACAAATTAGCTTATCGGAGTAGTTTAATTTAACTAGGATAACTGGTTAGACCTAACCCTACTTGAAGCTTGGTGGCGAGCCTTGGCCGGCATAAATTAGTTGCAACAACCTAGCAGATTCAGCATGGAACAGTCAGGGTGGTTCTTGTTCCCCTTCCGTGCTTGACGATGCCCACACTTCTTTTCCCCTTGAGTTGGTGAAAAAGTGATAAAAACCAAAGGGTGATCACTGCAGCGAGGTATGAAATATTAAAGCTTCTTATGACTATAGTTTAAAACTTCATGGCTTCAGCCACCGAAGCAAATGAGATAGCAACCCCATAACTCAACCCTCCCCCCAAACCCAACTCCAGGCAAGATTGACAACTACACATTCATACCTCTCTACCTGTTCTAATAAAGGAGCTGATCTGTCAAATAAACATGATGTTTCGCATCCAAATGGCTGGAATACCCTACACTGATGTCCGCCTCTCCCATAGAGCTACGTATGGGTATGATGCTTATCCACTCTGAATATCGCAGTTTCATATCTGTGAAAAACCAAAACCATGTAGAGGGATAGAAAGGAAGAGGGAGATGAATCCAGCTCTCATCGGCAATGAGCAGACAGGAATCAGTTAACATGATTCTGCATATGCACCCTGAACTGTGCTGCTGTTGCCCCTCACTACAGTCATCACACGACAAAGAAAGCATGAGAGTGAGAACAGGAAGGCTGTTGTAAGCAAGAGAAGGAGGGTGAGGATGACATCTCTCCTGGAACTCCTCTTTACCTTCATCGTTTCTTATCCCCATCAGCTTCTTGCTTGATCAAACATCCATTCATTTCAAGGTTCAGTCATCACATCTTAAAACCAGCCCAGCCCTATCCAACTGTGCAACGCTCGCTTACTTGCGTACCTGCTGTCAAGCCCACCTGCAGCCACCGCAATCATGGGATCCTATCACCAGGCGTACCGTTCAGGCAAGCAGGGTGAGGATCAGGAATCGGCGCGTTTTCGTCATGATAAAATGACGAGGATCCCGATCCAATTCCAATTGCCACCTGTTGAAGCACAAGAATACAAAGACCGGACTGCCAGCCGTCGAAGCCGTCCGTTTATGAAACCCAGCTCTCCACTGTTATGGTTGATACTCCTCTGCTTTTGCATCTTCTTTTTTTTCAGTAGTAGTTTGTTTTATGCGCTTTACACCTGCAGCTTCGACTCTGACGACGTTTCTGCAGCTAAAACTCAGCCACACTTCTCTTTTTTGCCCCGCAAAGGAGGCTTGAAGGAGAACTATAACAACCCGCCTACCTTTCTTGCTAAGCAGTTCACGACGACGACGACGACGACGACGACGACAACAACAACAACAACAGCAACAATTGCTGACACTGCTGATACTACTGCCGCCGCCCTTGCTATTAAATCTCCTGTTAATATCGTTGTAGTTAACAAACGTCTATACCTTCCCAAATACGGAGGTTCGTGTCCCAATCCACCAGATCCACCAGTCAACATGACGAATCCCGGGTTCAGGTCGGTCGTGTATTTTGTCAACTGGGTATGTGGTTGAGATCATTTTCCCATCTGTTTTCGTTAGTTGTCGGTCATCAAGTTGTTTTAAATATGTGCCACCTTACACCCCAGGTATGCACCGTTTCTCGGGTTGGACCACAAAGTCTAAATGCATGTTAGACGTACGTTCTATTCTGAAGCTTGATAGGTTTCATTGTTGGGCAATCCTATGTACTGTAATGATATCCTGTACTAACAGACATAGACTTAGCCTTTTATTTGTCTATATGTTTGGTTTAAATCGTTTATCTTCTTGCATCTTTCAGCATTTAACTAACCGTTGATACAGGCGATCTACAGTCGTAACTATCACCCACAAGACTTGCCAGTGGAGAAGCTGACGCACGTTCTGTACGCGTTTGCGAACGTCCGCCCAGAGAGCGGAGAAGTGTATGTTTTCTCCGCTGTGGTCAGCATTAAATTACTCAATTAGTCGAGTTTAGGAACAATTCTAACTCGTATCCCGCGGCCTTTTTCGTTAGCTACTTGTCCGATACTTGGTCCGATATTGAAAAGCACTATCCAACCGATTCCTGGAACGATGTCGGAACCAATGTGTATGGCTGCATCAAGCAACTCTTCTTGCTGAAAAAGAAAAATCGGAATCTGAATGTGCTCCTCTCCATCGGGGGATGGACATATTCTTCCAACTTCGCCCTACCTGCAAGCACCCCAGCTGGTAGAGCCAAGTTTGCTGAAACTGCTGTCAAGTTACTTCTTGATTTGGGATTGGATGGTAGGTGTTATCCTTAGTAACGTAAATGAAGACAGGATACGTCAAATTGAAATCGACTCAAAGAAACTAATAAAATGCTGCTGCGGCTTACAGGACTTGATGTTGACTGGGAGTATCCCATGAGTATGGATTCACTGCTAAAATTCTTTACACGCCAGTGACATGTGCTAATACCAATATTAGATGATGGCGAGGCCAAGGACTTTGTGTCGCTCCTTAAAGCGACACGAGAGGTATGGTAATCTTGTGTTCCCCAGCTATCCAACTATTGTCAATCTGACCATTAATCCTTCTGTCAAAATAGGAACTTGATAGGGTAGGTGGGGGGGGTCGCAAGTTCCTGCTAACCATCGCTTGCCCAGCAGGTAGGTATATATTACAAATTACGACGACCAGCTTGGTTATATCACTGCATCATGGTTTCCTGCCAAATTATTAATGTGAATTATGTAGGCCCCGAGAATTATCGAAAGCTACGCCTCCAAGAGATGACCCCATATCTGGACTTCTATAACCTCATGGCCTATGACTACTCCGGAAGCTGGGACACCATAGCAGGTCATCAATCAAACATTAAACCCTCCAGATCGAACCCCAAATCAACCCCGTTCTCCACTGAAGCAGCCCTGAATCATTATATTGGCGTCGGCGGCGTACCAGCCTCCAAAATAGTCCTAGGAATGCCGTTATACGGACGCACCTTCGCCAATACCGATGGTCCTGGGACTCCCTTCCAAGGCAACGGCGGCTCCGGCAGTTGGGAGACCGGTGTTTGGGATTACAAAGTTCTGCCTAAACCCGGTGCGGGAGAGCAGATGCTATCCATTCGTAGTGGTGAATGTGGTGCAACTTGGAGCTACGACAGGCCCTCTCGCACGATGATTACCTATGATACTGTGCCGATGGTTGAAGAGAAGACCAGGTATCTTATCGAGAGAGGCCTTGGAGGGGGAATGTGGTGGGAAGCGAGCGGGGATAGGGATCCCAAAACCGGCAACAAGGCGAATGGGAGCCTTATTGGCACTTTTGTGGAAGAGATTGGGGGGACTTCGAAGTTGCAGAAGGTTCAGAATGTGTTGTCGTTTCCGGAGAGTAAATATGATAACTTGAAGAATCAGTTTCCTGGGGAGTAGGGAGGCGTGGATAGCAATATGTATCGAGGCCATCTGTTCTTTTCTGCAGGATGTGTTTAATTGTTTTCTCTTTATCAACCCATTTGTTTGGTATGTATTAACCTTCTCCTTTCACATCCGACGATACTTGGAATGGTTGAATGGGTGATGGTTACATGCTCTGCACGCAGCTTTTCCCTTTTTTGTAACAAAGTCATACATAATAAGCCTCCCATTTGTCAGCAACAACTTGACAAGATGGAAACAATAAGGCAGCAATTTATGACAGCAATGATTCACATGTATACGTTATCTCCTCCATACTGGATACTAGGTACTTGATAGGTCCAATTAACAAGAAAACAAGGCGGCTTAAAATTCAATTTTGATTGCTCGTCAACTAGATACAGGAAGGTATTCAGTTTTCCCCGTCCCATACCTAACAGGCATCTAACTCAAAAAAATACCACCATCTATTTGGACTCATCAAAGACGTAGGTAAGATGGCACTTTCCACAGTACTGGCGGTTGGTCATGGAAGCCATGAAAACACCGGCTCCGCACTAAGACAATTTTAGCAAATGGACAAAATGACACACACACGGACGTAGACACGCAACATACTTCAGGAGTGGGGCACTCGCGGCGCAGACGCTCGATCTTTCCATCACCATCGACCTTGTAGTACTTGAGGACAGCAAGCTTGGTCTTCTTGCGCTTGTGCTTGATCTTCTTGGGGGTGGTATAGACCTTCTTCTTGCGCTTCTTGCCACCACCACGAAGACGCAGGACGAGGTGGAGGGTCGACTCCTTCTGAATGTTGTAGTCAGAGAGGGTGCGACCGTCCTCGAGCTGTTTACCAGCGAAGATCAGACGTTGCTGGTCGGGAGGGATTCCCTCCTTGTCTATGCGGGTGAAAATTATGTTAGATTTTTTTTTCTCGTTCCTTGTCTCTTCTTTTTTTTGGGAAATTTGTGCCTGCTGTGAGTAGGGTTAGATTTTCGTACCCTGGATCTTAGACTTCACATTGTCAATGGTATCAGACGACTCCACCTCGAGGGTGATAGTCTTCCCCGTAAGGGTCTTGACGAAGATCTGCATTTTGACGAAGGCCTATAGCTGTGATTAGTTATCATATCTGAATTGCTTGTTGCTTGATGGAGGATGTCGATGAGGCAAATGCAGTCGGCGGATAAATGGGCCCGGGAGATAGAATAGAGGTCCTGAGTATGGCAATAAATAATATATGGGATGTTTATTCAAACTTACCTCGACAAATTGTCTTCCTCAACCTTCCTATGCAAATCGTTGATGATGTTCAAGATACAAATAAGCAGGGCAACAGGTGAAAATACCGGGCGTGCGGTTTGTGGATCACGTGGAAAAATGATTCTGAGTAAGCTTCCACGTGATCAGAAACCGGCGATCCTAAACCACGCTAAACCCGATCGGGCGGTTGCCGGGCCAACGATCTTTGTTTGGAGCCCGCTTTCGATCTACAACCGACATTTTACTATGACAACGATCCTTGAGAGAAACTCCATAATTTGCGCTTCCCACTGCCAACCTCAACATTTGTCTGTTGATATTTCCTTTCGCCCACTATTACAAAATTCTTTATTTACCATCTTCTTTCTCTCCTCCGCTTTTATTGATAGACGACAAATTTGACGCTGTTCTATACTTGGAGTCGAACACCCTTGCACTCTGCTACCCCGTTTCGCCCCCCAATCTGATATCGGTTTTGACCCATATTGATCCAGGGTTTGTTTATTAAGAATCTTTGGTACATCCTTCTTGCTTTGCTACTGCCTGACACCACTATAGGTCGGCGTAGCGTTGCTTCGTTCCCTTTTCATCAGGCCATGATTTTTCAAAACGAGTCCCTATCCCACTGCTACTGTGTATGGTTGAATTGAAGGATTGCATGCACACTTTTGTGGGCCCACTGACCTGTTAAAATTACCTAGGCGACACATAGTCTCCAGAAGGTACTCTGAAAATATAAATTACAGCTTGGATTGAACGGAAGAGCGCATACGAGGCGTGGAAACTTCTCCTCACCTTCCGATCTGCCACTCTATGATAGAGCAGATATGCAGAGCTATCATTCGCACCGAAGAGGCTTAAGTCTGGACGACGGGCTCTTGGGACGGGGTCGCCATGCGCTTCCACATCCTCCTCCTCCTTCCTTTCTTAAGAGCCCAAGTCTGCCTCAGTTCCCGGATATTGTTCCTCAGCAGTATGAGCGCCCGACAGTCCAACGGCCAAGCACTCCCAAAAAGCAAACTGGTTCCGGTGGGTCACTTTATTATCATTATTATTATTATTATTATTATTATTATTATCTTCATCATCATGGTGACTATATGTAGCTGACAACAAGAAGAATCACTTCCCCTAACACCAGCAACAACACCATTCCGGCGACCGAATGACTTTTTCCAGAATTCCGCGAGTGTTCAGCTCTCGCCAACAAGGCAACACGCAGAGAAAATTTTCGCAAATAGAGGCAGTTCCACATCATTGCAACGATCAAAATCGGTCCAAGGGATTGTTCGGAGCAACTTCTTTCAACAGAAAAGCCATGTTCTCTCTCCATCAAACACCACACTATTCGACTCCTTGGATACCTTCACCACCCAGTTACCTGACCTTGGAGACGATGTATTTTCCGATTTCACCTTCCATCATGCAGAAGATTTAAAAAATATCTCGGTTCCATTGGACCCGCCGTCTTCTCCTGTTCACTCCGTTTTGAGTTCCACGTGCCAGACTACGAATACTCCGTGCTCAGTAGTTCGTACTGACTCTTCTCGACCCAAAATGCAGATTATGCCTGCTCTACCCCTCATCATCCCTACATATCCTCAAACGGCTAACTCAAGTCCATGTTCACCGCTGCTGAAGGCGCCTTTATCACCCCGCCCGGTGTCAATTGCTGACTTGAACCTGGGCTCCAACGTCCACGCCTCCATTGAAGAGACAGGTATTACAATTGACGACATTGCTGCATTTATCGAGGGACCTGATGGAGTCGACAAAAAATGGGTATGTACGTACCGGGGATGCAACAAAAGGTTTGGAAGGAAGGAAAATATCAAATCCCACGTCCAGACACATCTTGGAGACAGACAATATAAATGCAACCACTGCAACAAATGTTTTGTTCGTGGCCACGATCTCAAGCGCCATGCTAAAATCCATACAGGAGTTAAACCGTACCCATGCGAATGTGGCAACAGCTTTGCACGACAGGATGCCTTGACGAGGCACAAACAGCGAGGAATGTGCAGCGGTGCTTTTAAGGGAGCTGTACGAAAAGTAGTCAAACGAGGCAGGCCACGAAAGAACAGGCCAGAGCAGGACGAACGGCACAATAAAGCCATCAGAGCGCGCATTGGGGCGAGTGGAAAATCTTATGCGAGTTCAATTTCGGAATCATCATGTTCTACACTCGCCTCTCCCCCGAGCGAAAGCAATGAGGCCGAAAGCGTACTAGATTCGAGTCGTAGTGAAGGCTTTCCATATCTGCACAGTGATGGATTCGGTTTACCTCCCGATGTCTTTACCTTCACGCCTCCTGCCTCGCCAGGTTTCAGCACTGGAAATCTACCCTCACCAACGCGAAGCTTCCGTTCAATGACACCCACCTGGGAAAGAAACTTTCTCTCTCTCTCCCCGACAAAAAGACCTCTTGATGATATCCCCGAAGAAATCCCAGCTATCTCGCTTCTTGTCCCAGATTCCCCGACCCCGGTCAAAAAGGGACGGCCGGGATCTTCCTTGCAATTGTGGCTGCATTCGTCTGCGGAATCAGCATTCGCTGCTGAAAATGCACCAGACTTCGATGTTTTCGCCAGCCAAAGTCAACCTTCCACCGTGACTTCCATCTCCGCCACTCTTGACCAGAGCCAACTTGCTTCTCTCCAGCTTCCATCAACGGTCGGGATCCTGACAGAAGCCAGTGACTCACTATCATCAGATTATGAACCCTTCCTAACAAGCTCTTCCTCTCAACACGATAACACCAGCGAACTCAATCTCAGTTCGCATTTCCTTTCTGGGTCTTTCTCTCACTACTCTGAGGATTTTTTGAACAGTTTTGGTGGTGAAATCGATAACGAAATGTAATTTGGTTTTATTGATATGGAAAGCAAGATGAAACACCACAGCTCCGGTTGGTTATGACACTAACTTGAGTTTAGTTAACTAGCATTTTGAAACGAATTATTAGCACGTTCCACGAGTAACTCGCTAATGTGTAACTAATATAATTTTTGGGAGGGAATGTATCCATGCATTATCTGTGGATGCTTACGATAGACATGATTAAGCCTTCTATTTTGCTTTTTGGGATGTTTGGGAATTTTCATACGTTTCTTGCCTCCTGTACTTTCGAATACCTGTTTGTTTACCTCATTGGCCTCTTCATATTTCTTGTTTTGAGTTGCAAATACCTCTCCAAATAGCAATTGCTTTTCCTTTTCTTCCCCTTTTTGCCGACCCTTTTCCCTTTTGGGGTTGTATTTCCTATCCTAGTTATTTCAATCATCAGTTTTTTTTTAAAAAAAATAACAACCCTTCTACGTTAGCGCGTGAACTTCAAATTTTCAAAATGGGATGAATTTCTTTCAAGGGCCTATTCGATATTTGTTGACTTGTATTTTGGTAGATTATTTTGCGGCACGGCTCTTTCTTCTCTTTTGGTCTCCTTTTCTGCGACTTAGGATTAATGCGGGGTTGTATTGAATTTATGGGTCAACTACCGGAGGCAGATCAAATTATGCTTTATGAGATCAAGAATATATTCTTAGGTTGATCGTTGTTGTTGTTGACTTTTCCGGAATACAGGGAGATTCGCACGTGCTCCACTAATTCAATGTGTCAGCACTCCTCGTTCCAGCAGATTTGACTCCCTAGTAGATCGTCACACTGGTATTTTTGAGATACTTAGGAAAAGTGTACAGGAATTCGACGGGCAGTTTAAATGCTATTCTCTTGCATACAAAGAGTAGTTA